GAGAGAGAGGAGTGGTCACTACAGAAAGATGGTGAAATAGAGGAGTGGCCACTACAGAAAGATGGCGAGAGAGAGGAGTGGCCACTACAGAAAGATGGTGACATAGAGGAGTGGTCACTACAGAAAGATGGCGAGAGAGAGGAGTGGCCACTACAGAAAGATGGTGAAAAAGAGGAGTGGCCACTACAGAAAGTTGGCGAGAGAGAGGAGTGGCCACTACAGAAAGATGGTGAAAAAGAGGAGTGGCCACTACAGAAAGATGGCGAGAGAGAGGAGTGGTCACTACAGAAAGATGGTGAAATAGAGGAGTGGTCACTACAGAAAGATGGCGAGAGAGAGGAGTGGTCACTACAGAAAGATGGTGAAATAGAGGAGTGGTCACTACAGAAAGATGGCGAGAGAGAGGAGTGGCCACTACAGAAAGATGGTGAAATAGAGGAGTGGCCACTACAGAAAGATGGTGACATAGAGGAGTGGTCACTACAGAAAGATGGCGAGAGAGAGGAGTGGTCACTACAGAAAGATGGTGAAATAGAGGAGTGGTCACTACAGAAAGATGGCGAGAGAGAGGAGTGGCCACTACAGAAAGATGGCGAGAGAGAGGAGTGGCCACTACAGAAAGATGGCGAGAGAGAGGAGTGGCCACTACAGAAAGATGGCGAGAGAGAGGAGTGGCCACTACAGAAAGATGGCGAGAGAGAGGAGTGGTCACTACAGAAAGATGGCGAGAGAGAGGAGTGGCCACTACAGAAAGATGGCGAGAGAGAGGAGTGGCCACTACAGAAAGATGGCGAAAAAGAGGAGTGGCCACTACAGAAGAGCCTTAGTTGTTGGGACCTAAGAAGGTGCCTATCTGGGCTTTATGCATGTGTATGATGTTGTAATGATGATTGAAATGCTATATCATATTAAGAAAAGCTTCTTAAATGATGAAAAAACTAAATTAAAACTATAACCGTGTTTTGGCTATGTAAAAGCAATACTAATCAAAATAAATTATGGGAATTGCTTTACATTTTTGCCTAATTACCATGCGGCACAATAATGATTACACCATGGTTTCCGTCCTGTAAATTTAATTACAGCTAAATTCTAAATACTCAACCCATGAAATATGCCCATTTTAAGCAATTACTTATTCAGTCTCTTCTATATGCCAGGCACCAAATTATATGGTAAAATGAGAATAATAAAACAATCCCTGTTCACATGGGGCTTACAGTCTTGTCAAAGAGAGGCAAGTACTAGATAATTGTGTAGCAGAGAAACTGACAATAAATACATCTTTAAATAAAGGTAAGAACACGAGGACAATATCCACCCCACTCCCAGGAAGTCAGGTAAGGCTTCAGTAAGGAGATGTCAGAGCTGATTCCTGAAGAATCAGTAGAGTTTGCCAGGAGAAAGGGAATGTAAATTAGAAGAACTCTCAAGCAAAAGGAACAAGAAATGCCCTGGTCTCAGAAATGAGACACTGTGTGGACTGCTGAGAAAGTACATGGTTGGAACAAAATGAGTAAGAGTCCTGAGACAATGAGGCTGCTGAAATAAGGAGGAGCCAGGTCAAAAGGGGACTAGAGTATTACACTAACAGTGTGAAGCACTGCAGCTCTTCTAGAATTTGTCTAGCAAATCCTGGTTTTCACTGGAAAACCCCCAAATTAAAAAAAAATGTGTGAAATTTTGCTGGTAATGGGGAACCACTGTAGGATTTCTGGCAGGATAACTGACATGACGAGATTACATTTCAGATGCATCACTCTGGCTCCACTGTGGAGAATCAAGTGGTACAGCTCACAACTGGAGACATGTAGGGCAGTTGGGGCCAGTTAAAATCATGTTGTGATCAATGCTGGTGGCTTACATTAGGCTATTCAGGATAGAGAGAGCTGGATGAACTTGAGACATAGTAATAGGTACAACTGAGATGTCTTAGTGATTGACTATATGAGAAAGAGGGAAGTCGGAGATGGATTTCTGACTTAGGCAAATATATGGTGGTGTGCCATTTACTAAAATGGAGAAGAGAGGGGATAGAGGCAGATTGGTGAGATTTGTATTTTGATTTTTTTGTTTTGTCGATTTGGTGAGGATTATTTCCCCTAAGAGAGAATTAGAAACTATGAGTTTTATCTTAATTACTTGAGTTTTATGTTTCTGGAGATCTCGGATAGGTAACTAAATATATAGGTCTGAGGCTAAGAGAAAGATCTGAGCTTAGACACCTATTTGGAAGACAGTATAAGCTCACATATTGGGAGATACCAGTTGAAGTTATCAGATAGAGAAAAGGATCAACATCAATAAGCTAAAGAAATTCAAAATTTGTGGGATGAGTTCATGAAGAGCAAGTGAAAAGATCTATGAAGAAGGCATAACTGAGAAGTAGGGAGGACCAGGAAAGCCTAAGATCACAAGTGTCCAGGGAAGAGAATATCTTGAAAGAGAGCAAGCAGTAAACAAAGCCCAGTGCAGCAGGGAGCATGAACTGCTATAGAGCCTTTTTGGAGAACAATCCAACACAGCTACTAAAAAAATATTTGATCCTCAATTCTACTTCTCAATATTTAATTTTTAAAAATGCTAGTAGACCTGTCTGATGAGATAAATTAAAGACAGTTTATAAAAGTAAAAAAAATATATATATAAAATAGGTTAAAAAAAAGAAACAATGTAAATATCCAGAAATAAAGGAGTAAAAAAGAACACAATAGATCCTCTTGAATATCTCACATAAGTTAAAGAGAAAAAAGCAGACATACATGGAAAAGACTAAGAAATATTCGGTTAAAAAGAAAGCCCATGTAACAGAAGAATATACACATCATGATAAAACAGTTATTTTAAAATGTATTTCACTATATACAGATACTTGTAAGAAAGGACACAGAAAAAGGCTAGACGTGTATACACCAAACGTAAATCCAGTAGTTAACTCTAAGAAGAAAACCGCTATTTGGCTGGGGCATGTGGCCAACAAGGCCTTTTGCTTCATTTGTATTATTTGATTTTTTTTTTTTTTACAATGAAAATGGTCCCATGTATTACCTGTATAATTAAAAATATATTTTAAAAATTCTAAAAAGTTTTAAAATGAATAGTTCTTTAATAATGTTAAAAAGAACAAGTTTGGAAGAGTAAAGGAAACAGAAGATAAAATATAATTAATTGAGACAAAATGGGAGGAAAAACAGTAGACAGAATATCACAGAAAACCTGGTAATAAACAGAAAGAAAAGGAAGTCAGGGGAAGATTTGTCAGGAGACAGACAAGAAAAACAGTATTCTCAGGAATATTCTCAGGAAGCCTATTTACTCAGTTACTGTTTTAAAAAAATGGAGATCACAATGTTAATAAGCCATCACAAGATTTAGTATCTGTTACAGGTATAAGGAATAACAATGGCAAGACCAGTGTAGCAGGAATAATTAAGAAGCCAAGGCCTGTAATCCCAGCACTTTGGGAGGCTGAGGCGGGTGGATCACGAGGTTGAGAGATCGAGACCATCCTGGTCAACATGGTGAAACCCCATCTCTACTAAAAATACAAAAAAATTAGCTGGGCACGGTGGTGTGTGCCTGTCATCCCAGCTACTCAGGAGGCTGAGGCAGGATAATTGCCTGAACCCAGGAGGCGGAGGTTGCAGTGAGCTGAGATTGCGCCATTGCACTCCAGCCTGGGTAACAAGAGCGAAACCTTGTCTCCAAAAAAAAAAAAAAAAAAAAAGAAGCCAAGGCTGGGCATGATGCCTTATGCCTATAATCCCAGCACTTTGGGAGCCAAGGCAGGTAGATCACTTAAGCAGGAGTTCAAGACCAGCCTGGTCAATATGGTGAAACCCCATCTCTATAAAATATACAAAAATTAGTCGGGTGTGGCAGTCGTCACCTATAATCCCAGTCACTTGGGAGGCTGAGGCACAAGAATCGCTTGAACCCAGGAGGCTGAAGTTGCAGTGAGCCAGGATCAAACCACTGCACTCCAGCCTGGGTGACAGAGCAAGATTCTATCTCCAAAAAAGAAGAAGCAGCAGCCAGATCAATACACATTAGGTGAGAAAAATGATTTAGAGAAGGATCTAGGTCATCTCAAAGCTAATATCCCAAAGGGCGAAAGAGAAAAGCGGCATAAAGTTTTCAAAGTATCTTAGTGTTACATGAAAGGTGGACATCAGAGATATGCAAACAAATGGTCTAACTGCTGGATGAGAAATGTTTAGAAAACCCTTCTGGTAAGTACTACCAAGAATCACCATGATGAGCAGAGACATAATCGGATACAAAGTTATATATTCGTATTGGTTATAACATTTAGGTATATGTTCATTGCTGTGTAACAGAAGTTGGAAATGCTTACTGTCATTCATTGTCTTTCTACATGCAAGAGGTAATGGGTGATAAGGCATCATTTAATTGTATTTTAAATATTACAGATAATTTTTGCTTAGCATTAAACAGGAAGAATTATATGGGAGTAAGGTATATGCCAAAATAAGTGTTGGAACCCAAACAATTAATGTTTCAAAATGGCTCTGTTATTTAGGAAACCAAACATTCCATGTCCAGGTCCTTCTGGAAAATTCTCAGAGGGGAGATAAGCGCTAACAACTAGCTGCAACTTGTGAGAAACTAATTCACGTGGACCATTAACAAAACATGCATCCTGATTCAAAGCTATTCTCAAGGAGCTGCTCAGATTCTGGTGAAAGAAACAGGGCTATGAACCCCCAGGCTTGGGTGCCAGTGAGCAAACAACTTTGAACCACAGTAAAATCTATGCCCTTTCAAAGACAATGCACAGCAATACTACATTTCACTGGCGGTGGGGGGACGGGCGGAGAGCTGAAGGGGAAGAAATTGGGAGTTTTTTGAGTGCAGCCTTTGGAGGAATAATCGCTGCAAGGCCTCCATTTGGGGGCTTGACATGTTCTGTCACACCTGTTTAAATTATATCAGCCACCAAAATGCACTTTTGTGCATTTTGTATTAACAGTCCTTACCTTAAGAGCTCTATCTGTAGAAGAGGCAAGTTCCTCCCTTGACTTATCCTGCAAGACGCCTTCTGAGAGTCAGAGGAAAACAACCAGCTTCGATCATTTGAACATGGAGCATCCACTAACACCTGTAGAAGAAAAGGACAAGTGATCCAAATCTGCACTGACAATCTATTCTCAGGCACGAAATAGAGAAGTTTTGTAAAACATGGCAAGCAAATAGCAAATAAATAAAAACAATTCTTTTTTAACTGAAAATACACCACAATAAGTTTTTTCTTAGGACATTTCCTCACTAAACGATTTACAGAAAAACTTACCATGTACTTTCAGTGTTTGTTTTGGGGCTTGGGATGGGGAATTACAGTTTACTATCCCTACTAATGCTATTTGATATCCTTGACAACCACAGCAAAAACTTTACAAAGTGACTCATTGTAATCAGGCAGTAATATAGTTCTGAATTCTCAGCTCTTATTCTAAGAACTAACATTTCAATTTCAGCTTACTGAAATGACCCCTTTTTCTTCAACTGTCATACTCTGAAGTGAAATGTTATTGAATTAAAGCAATACAGTGCACATGTTTGTGTACTGATCCAAACAATACATTTTCCTGAGGACCTCTGAGCTACCTGGCAATATAAGCCATTCTGTAATCCCCGATCCCAGTGTTACTGCTTTCTTTGAACCATGCTGACCATCAAATGAAAACTGCTTCCATGTTCACTTTATGGAAATTTTCCAGGGTACTGAGAAACTGTATCAGGCTATGTCTGAGAACAGATGGAAAATAACAAGGAAGCAACATAACAGTGGTATCCTCGGGAGTCCATCAGTTTGTCACAATGTAATAAAAGTACCTTGTCAAACATTTCAGGCTGGGCATCTCCCATTTTTCTGCCATCCAATTCAGACACTTTAATTACATTTATCAAAGGCTGTGGGATGAAAGATTCTAACGTCTGCCTCAGCCACCTGAATCTCAGACTGTCATATTCATTACAGTGAAGATAACCTAAATAAAAAGGATTACAAAGTTTCAAATGAAGGCAATGGAACTGCTAAATTTCTACTTTTCAGCAAGTAAATTTCAGGAAGAAATTAACTCATCATAATTATGCAGATATAGGGCTCAGAGGTAAACAATATAATTTTCTTATGCTTTAAAAACAGAAATCCAGATGTGTACATGTGTATGTATATATAGATACACATACCTACTACATAAAACATTTACAATAGTCATGCCTACACAGTCTCTCGGAACCTCTCAGCATTTGCTACACCAAGTTTAATTTTATTAGAGGTAAAACCTATAAAGAATTATAGATTCCCATAGATATGTTATACACCAATACCTCAGACACAGTTCTCACGCTAAAGAACTAACTCTTAAGAGTAAACACAGGTGGTAATTCAGGTGTAAGAAGATGAGACTCACATCGAGGCAGATGCAGGAAGTGTCCTGGCTTAAAAGCCTCCTGTCCCACAGGAACCATCATCTCTTTTAACAAGTCCACAGGCTTTCAGTGTCCCCACAGGGACATGCCCAGTCATAAGAATCACTGCACTCGGAAGACCCAAAGCATGGCATCTCTATCAGGTCTCTAGGGGTTATTTATCTTTTCTCCCAGCCCACATACAGTTTACCAATCAGGGCCATTTTTATCATAAGCAATCTTGCCTAGAAACACAGGGACAATCTCTGTCAGGTTACCAAGGAAACAATACTAGAGAAGTAACTGAACATTAAATTTTAGTGTAGAAGGGAAAAAAAATGTGTAAAGTCTTTGCTCAAATACATATACATATATATATACACACACATATATATACATACATACACACACACACACATAAATAGTTGTTTTTTGTCATTCCACTGTTAAAAAGTTAAAAAAAAATCTTTTAATGACTTCCTATCATCCACTGAATAAAGTTCAAAGGCAAAGCCTTTAAATCAAGGTCCATAGTAGCAGACCTCAGGACAGTCTCTCCATTTTAATCTCCCACCACTGCCCCAGTATGCTCTGTGCTCTACCAAACTTGATGGACTATTCCATTTCCAAAACATACTCTGTACTTCTCTTGCTCATCTCGCATGAGCATTTCTGAGCATGGCTTACCTTCTCTACTACCAGGGCTCCACATTTCTTTTCTTTTATTTTTTTGAGATGGGGTCTTGCTCTGTTGCCCAGGCTGCAGTGTAGTGCCATGATCTCGGCTCACTGCAATCTCTGACTCCCAAGTTCAAGCAATTCTCCTGCCTCAGTCTCCCAGGTAGCTGGGATTACAAATGTGCACCACCATGCCTGGCTTATTTTTGTATTTTTAGTAGACACAGGGTTTTGCCGTGTTGGCCAGCCTGGTCTGGAACTCCTGACCTCAGGTGACCTACTTGCCTCGGCCTCCCAAAGTGCTGGGATTACAGGTGTGAGCCACAACACCTGGCCCAGGTCTCCGTATTTATCTACAGGGAAGGAGCTCAGGAGATGCCATCAATTTTGTTGGGCATAAGAGTAGAAAATCATCTAAAAGCACATCTGCAGAGCCAGTTTTCATGTTTATTTTGGGTGTCTTTTGGAGGACTCACTAATGGAACTTAAATAGGTATCTAAAAGCCCTTGTCTTATCCTGAAATCACTAGAAAACAATATAAGACAAAAGTTCATGGTATGGAGAGAGACCAATTCTAATGAAGCAAAAGTGAGAGAAAAAAGAAAGTAAATCATGGAAGGAGCATGAAAGATACAGGAGGATTTGTAATCAAGCTGCCTACAGCTTTGGTTAGTCTCTCGGGTATCTCTACAGTTTGAAATTACAGAGCCTTGGAAGGAGTTGAATGTCATTGGAGCAAGGAGGACGAACAATCTGCCGGCTGCTTTTTGCCTCTTTCTCTCATTAAAGTCCATACCGAGAGCTGATAATTTCCACCTACTTTGAGATTGTGTACCTGGCCCCTTCAGGCAACTGCTAAGAAAACCAGACAGTGCCCAAGGCCTGGTATTGCAAGCACACAGGTGAGATGACCTCTGCTTGTTAGCTGACACTCATCAGGAAGCTCTTCGATGTGTGGCAGTGGTAGCATCAGCAGCAGACAACTGCGTGAATGGCGTGACCTTTGCTAGGGTTTCTCCAGTCTCTGGAAACAATGCAAGTGGCTCCAGCCACGAGGTGAGGGATGAGAGCAAAGATGGAGCGAAACACATCTGTGTGATGCATAGATTGGTCCACAGGATGACCCCCGAATTCACCCCTACCATTCTTCACCACTGCCTATCAAATACTAAGGACCTCAGAGGAAAGAATCACGTCCTTACTCATCTTTCATTCAATTACCACCTTTTTCTAATTTAAATATTTTACATTCTATTTTGACTTTTTTAGTGGTAACTCAAAAGACTTCTAATGTGCACGTTAAGAAAAATCTAAGCTAAGGCAATTTTCACCAACTCTCCTAAAAGTTACAAGAATCTTGCAATACCCTTTCTTTAGATGCTATTGTCATTGTTTCTCTAGGTTTTCTTTGGACTTACATTTTTTAACCCCACGAAACATTATCACAGTCTTTTATACGCAATGATTGTCAGACTTTCCCACATAATATCCTACCTTTGCTCTTCATTTTTTGGTAGCTGCTATCTTCCATCTTGGATGGCTTTCTCTTTTCCTGAAGTACACCCCTTAGAACTCTTGGTGACAAACTCTTCATCTCTCTCTATTTCCTATTTCACTTTTGCTCCTCAGGAGCATATTCTGACTGAATATATTTCTGGATTGAGTCATCTTTTATATTCCTTTGAATGCTGGTTCCTCTTATTACTCTCAAGTGTTAACCCTCTGTTGGTTGTTCCTTTGAAGGTAAGCTCTCCATTCTTTCTAGTTGCTATTAAGGTCTTCTCTTTATTTTCAGTGTTCTGCAATTTCATTATAATGATTTCAAAGGGTACTTTCTCTCCTCCCCCAGCATCAAAGTGGAAGACAGACAGCATTCCCTGCAGTCATTTGAAGAGGACAATTTCTTCCTGGTTTACCTTCTATGGTGGGTATAGCACTTTGAGTCCCAGCTTGATGTAAGTGAATCTTCTATTAGATGCTCTACTTGGGTAGGCTCTGGCTTTGTTTTTTATTCCTTCACTCTCATGAAGCAATAAAAAACATGTAAGTTTTTCATGTTAAGCAAATGTTCTCAAGTCAAAAGCCAGCTTCAGTACACGATTTATCTTTAAGGTTCCCACTCTCTCTTAGATTTTGGCCACTAAGTATTTAAAGATAATTGATGCATTAAAAAATTTTAATATTATATCCTACATTTTTAGTTATTTTCTTAAGGGGGCATTGGTTAGGGTACGCAGTCTGTCACAGCACAGGAAAGTCTTCATCATTTCTATATCCCTTACCTCTGTACACATGCCATCCAATGCCTTGCACATAGTATGTGCACACTAAATGCAGATGACTTGATTAAAGCATGGCATTATAATAACAAATACTTAAATCATTACAACTGAAAATCAGGGCAGCTTTTCATGAAATTATTTATAGCTTTAGTGAAGATTCTCAAGTCAGCATTTTAAAATAGCTTCCAGCAGAATTACTGCTTTATGCTGTAATACTATTGTGCTTAGATGTAGATTTTATTTGAAATGGTCTTAGGTTGATTAAACCTTTTAAAAATATAAAATTAAAGTGTCATAATGCAAGTTTCATATATATACTAACATTTAATACACTAAGACAATTAATTCTGTGCTTAAATGGTCAAAAGCAAACCAAATCTTAATTTTTTTTTTTTACTCTAAACAGGAAAAAGGGTGAATTTAACAAATGCTTGAGGATTCAGCATCGGTACATGGCAATCTTTGGACCAAGGAAAGAAACTGAAATTGGATGTTTCATTCATTCATTTATTTTAGTAGACCTAACTTAAAAACAATAATCTTGCCTTATCTCCAATTTTTCCAATTATTCTTTGGAGCCATAATCTATAATTGATGGTCATTCTCTATGTTCCTCTCAATATTATAATAGGAATAATGATACTGTCCTATTGCTAAAGTGTTAGGGGCGGCAAATCCATCTGGGTCTGCAGCAACTTCAGTTCTTGCCTCCTCAGAGAAAGAATTCGACTGAGGGGCATAAGGCAGAAGAAGAGACCAAGGCAAGTTTCAGAGCAGGAATGGAAGAATTCTATTCTATCCTATGCTGTGCTGCGCTATGTTTGAGATGGAATCTCGCTCTGTTGCCCAGGCTGGAGTGCAGTGGCACAATCTTAGCTCACTGCGATCTCCACCTCCTGGATTCATGCAATTCTCCTGCCTCAGCCTACCAAGAAGCTGGGACTACAGGCACGTGCCACCATGCCCGACTAATTTTTTGTATTGTTAGTAGAGACAAGGTTCCACCATGTTAGCCTAGATGGTCTCGATCTCCTGACCTCATGATCCACTCACCTTGGCCTCCCAAAGTGCTGGGATTACAGGCGTGAGATACCACACTTGGTCCTGGAAGTTTATTAAAAAGCTTTAGAGCAGGAAAGGACAGTTCACTTGGAAGAGACCCAAACGAGCACTTTAGAGGTCAAGTGCCCCGTTTAACCTTAATCCTAGGACTTTATATGCTGGCCCACTTCCAGCATCTTGCAGCCCTCTTCATTCTACTTAAGGGTGAGTTGCCCACAAGCACAATGCCCTCCGTACACTTGGAAGGTGAGCACATGCAGTGTGTTTAGAAACCTGCACACATGCTCACCTGAGGCTTTCTTCCCTTTTCTAGTAGAATACCCCCGGAAGGTCATACTCTGCCATTTTGTCTCTTGATGTGCATGCTTCAGCTCACTTGCCTAATTCCTAAGATTTTAATGGAAGCTGATTACCAATTTCAAATGTTTTTATCTGTTTGGGAAATTGCCTTTCCCTGGTGCCTGCAATGAATTATCACTTTAGTGTGACAATTGTGGAGCATCAGGAAATTGCCTCCTCCTGGTACTGGCTGCCAATTATCATTTTTAGAAAG